AAAAAAAAAAAATTTCCAACACAGGTGTACTGCTATGTACAACTTAAACGCTCAACTCTTTTATAAGTTCTCTTAAAAAGGTTTGCCTCAAAAAAAAAAAGGGGGGGCGAAAAATAAAAAAGGCACATAAAATAAAAGAGCATTACTTTCCCCTAACCGTGCCCCCAAAAGAAAGCATGTACATTGGAGTGCTATCAAAGAAAACTGACGAGAAGTTTGACCTGAAAAATGACTCCAAATTCGGTGGCGCCCCCGTGTGGTTATATGGGAAAAAACCAACGAACTTTAGTTTGGAGTGTCCAACGTGCAAAAATGACTTGACGTTTTTATTCCAATTATCAACATCGTATAATGAGTACGTAAGAGTACTATACTTGTTTTGCTGCCTGAACAGTGGGAAGTGCAATGTGAATAAGAATAGTTGGGTGTGCATTAAGGGGAAAAAAAAGCTATTTCAAAATGTGGGTGGTGATCAAGTAGGCTCAGAGTTAGGGATAGACGGCTGTGTTAAAGGGGAAATGTGTCACAATGGAAGAGCAAATCCAAATGATCCCCAAAAAGGAGTCTTCTCCAATTGTAGCAGAACAAATAGGAGACAACCCATTTTTGATTTCTCAAACGAAAATATAAAAAAAGAAGATTGTGTCACACAAGATGTAAGTTTTATGGAGGAAAAATTAATCGACTGGAAATCCTTATTTTCGAATAGTGCTACGGAACAGAAAAGGAACAACTCATTTTTTGGTAATGCCATTAGTGCATCCTTCATTGGTGTAAATGAAAAGCCAAGACATCACGATTCACCTGTGGTAGGTAATAATTTCCAAGCAAGTGAACCTAACGAGGGAGACGAACTTCTTCTTGGGATGCCCCAAACGAGCCAGGAAGATGAAAAATTGATGCAAGAAGAAGAGGAAGAAGAAGGCACCAGGTATAAATTACCCACTTTTTACATTTCCCTGATTGAAGACGATGGAGTTGATTGTGGACAAGCAGACTACCTCTATGAAAAGGCCAAAAAAATGCATGAAACGTATGAACAACGAAATAAGGAAAATACGGAAGAGGACGCAGATTTTGCGATAGGGAATGATCACGATCTGGATGACATTGGTGATATCGAATTCTTCGAAAATGATTTTAACGGATGTGTAAAATTTTATTCATACTTGAGTAAAAACTACAATCAAATATTAAGGTATTCTTATAATGGGAAGTTTTTATACATGTATAAATCCACAAAGAAATACATCAAGGAACACACCATGACATGTGCACACTGTGGGAGCAAGCTACTCTTCGAGATGCAATTTTTTTCCACTTTTGTGTATCATATAGAGAGAAAACTAGAAGAAGAAATGGCTAACCTTCCGAACAATTCGTTAAACAATTTCAACGTGGGCAATGTCATGATATTCACATGTGAACAGGACTGCGTTACGGTGAACGATATGTATTCATATGAGTGTGTTGAGTTGGAAGTGTTTTAGCGGTAGGGGTACATGCATCACTGCAGAGTTGGAGGGGAGTTTGGGCTGCGTTAACTCCTTCCCCCTTTGGTTTTTTTTTTTTTTTTTTTTTTTTTGTCATGTTTAAAAGCATTCCTTTGAAGGGAATTATTAACACACACTCGTGTGTGGGTTGGAAAATTTTTCCATTTGCACAGGTGTGGCGAGCGTGTGCTTCATGGACACTGCCGTAAGGTTTAAAATCACACATACGCCGCTATCCACCGGGTGCGGCGATTTAATTACTCTCGGGTGGCACGGCCGCTAATCAGTCGGTCCACCCTAAACACTAAACCCTTAAAACCCCTTCAACGCAACGCAACTCTCTTAAAAGTTAAAATTCTTCGTCACGAACATTGCCCAGGGAAATTTAAGCCTTAAGCTCCTATTAAATATTTTCTCTATCGGTATTTCAAACCTTTTGCAGAAGGCGACGGTTATTCTTGGATCCATATAATTTATTTTAGAAGTCCCGAGGGCAATTGTTTTGTTGTCATCGCGTACCTTCATTTGGTGTTTTAACTGCTCCACTTTCTTAATGAGAGCAATTAATTTCTTCTTGCAAGACTCTTCCTTCATGTTTTCCTTCACCTTGTTGGGTCTTAACGATCCATCTAAAGCAACAACCTTAGACACAAAGGTAAAGCTTTGTTCGTTTGTTCCGTTTTTCAGGTACTGCAAATATTTTTTATACTCCTTTATATCTTCGGTGTAGAGTTCTATTTGCTTTTTTATTTTGGACATTGCTGTGTCGTGCTGCTTTGGGATACTCCTCTGATGGTTACACAGAATGGCAACCTCTCTGTTGGCGTTGTTGAAGAAATTGATGAGTTCGTTTACATTTGAAACGTCCACTTCTATGGGGGTGTTTTTCTCACTAGCGTGGACGCCTCCGAAAGGGTTGGTGTTACTTCTACTTGGGGTTACTGCACTGTTATCGCCAAGGGAGTTGTCGCCTGTTGCGTTTTCACCTGTTGCGTTTTCACCTGTTGCGTTGTCATCTCCACTTCTCCCTTCCTCCGTGGAGTCACTTGTATCGCTTAGAATAGTGGTTGACGAAGTTACGTTTCCGAGTTTCCTCTTTTTCTTCTTTGGAAAATCATCATAACACGCGAGCAGCGGGTCCGTTGGTTTGCCCCGAATTTCTTTTATCCTTTTCAGCTGCTGATCTAGGGTAATGGACGCATTGTATGTACGGAAAACCTTTGCCGACAACGTTGGCATAATTTCTTTTAAATAATCATTTAATTTTGAACAGGTAATTTGATCAAACACCCCTTCATCTTTGTGTTTGTTTTTGCAAAATATGATCATGTTGATGTATGCTTGCTTGTCCAGCAGTACCGTGTTAAAATATCGGATACTGTCTTTTCCTAAAAAATCAAGTGTTATATAGCAGTGATCTGCCGCTATGTCGTTTAGGTTTTTGGGAAGCGGGAGTTTGTTGCTGTCTTTGTTGTCACTTTCGTTTGGGGCGGTTTCTCCTTTGGTGATTTCCCCTTTGACGACTTCCCCCTTGGCGACTTCCCCCTTGGCGATTTCCCCCTTGGCTACTTCCCCGTTCGTGTTTTTCACCTTGCCCCTCTGCCCCTTGGCGTTTTCCCCCCGCAAGGTCCCATCCTTAATGGGCACCTGGTGGGAAAAGCTAACGTGCTCGACCCGCAAACTGCAGCAGCCCACGGTATCCGCTTCCTCATCTGTGTCTTTCTCACCCCCCACTCTTAAGGCCAAAAAGTCTATCAAATAGACCGCCGTGCCTAACTGCTTTTCCAGGATGCTTTTGCTCCTCATTTTGTGCTTATAATCTTCCCTAATTTTATGAACACATGATTTTAGCTTCCTTGCATTTTCGTACTTGAGAAAATCTTTATAACCTTTAAATTTGGATTGGGCAGATAAAAATGTATACTTTAACTGATCATTTATACTGTCCTTGTAGTATGCTAACCACGTTACTTTATTGTCATGGTAAATATCTCCCCAACAGTGACCACACATATCATCGTACAATCGAGGGACAGGGGCATCTTTGCTTATATTTATTACCACATCTTCTGGGAATATTCTTTTTTTCAACAACCCCTGTTTTGGGTGTTCTCCTCTACCTCTAAATAGACCAGGAGGTTCCGCTTTGTTGCTCGAAATTTTTTCACGAATCCAATCAACCAGTGCGTACGTATATGGTAATTCTTTTTCTGATCTTAATTTTTTTTCTTCTTCTTTTTCTTCTTTCGTTCTATTAAGTTTTTCTTCTCTTAGCTTAACTAGGTGATCTTTGATTGGCATGAAATCGATAAATTTAAAATTGGATATATCTCCTTTTTTCAATTTGTTTTCATTTTCTTTTCTTATTATGTTATCCTTCTCTAAGGTACATATGAAGGTTTTAAAAAAGTTTAATATGAACTTTTCCTTAGTACAATAATCAGTGCCTATCACACTACACCAGTAGGTAGCTAACTCCTCTGCTTTTTCATTTAACTCTAATTTTATGCTTTTATAAAAAATGGGAATATGGTGCTGTACGTATGGGGGAGAAAAAATAAGACCCCGATGTTCTAAGTAATGCCACTGAATATCAGTTTGATGATCTATTTTCTCCCACCATCTATTTATGGGTTCGAAATTTTCTTCTGTTTTTTTAACTACTTTTTTGGGTCTTTTATTTGTTTCTTTCTTGACTTTGCTTGCTCTCTTTTTTACAATTTTGGCGGCTGTGTGCTTCTTCCCATTAGTGTCTTTTTCGTCCTTTACACTTGATTTTCTTTTTTTCACCACCGTGTTTTTTTTATCTGTCTTTTGATTGCTAATAGTAGGGTTTTCCTTAGCTGCATCCCCCGTATTGGCACCTGTCTTACCTTTTTTTACCACCTTACATTCATTTAAGGAAGCCTCTTTGCTTTCCTTCGCACTCGTTTTCGACTTCGCCTTTTGAATAACGATACTTGTCTCTTTGTTCAAAACTGTCTTACTATTACTCTTCACAACCTTCTTTGATTTAGCATCCTCCTTTTTGTCTTCATTTATTTGTTTTGAGTCGTTAATTTTAATGCAGCAGTTTTTTTTCTTAATATTTTCAATCAATATGTCATCATCGGATGTTACATTATCATCCTTATCCTGATGCTCGCTCTTTTCCATGGTGTACGGGAAAAAATACAAAAAAATAAATAATAAAATAAGAACGGACTGTGGTGTAACTTTCCCCCCTTACGGTGAATAATTCACATGTACATGTACTGGGCCAAATTTGAACCAACTAGTATATCACCATCTGTTCGGTTGTACCCACAATACACTTTAAGAAACTCGGCATGATTCGTAGCTTTTCCCCTCAGATGAACGTCCAAAAAATTTGCAAAATGGGAAGTAATTTGTAAGTGTGGTGCCGATACGGTACGCTCTACACTTCTACGTACGGCTTGAGATGCTACTTCACATATGCAGGGCGGCCTTTAAAACGAGTCCATAACTAAGAATGAATATTCGTTCACGTTTTTCGTATAGAACACGACTAAGCCGCGACGGGGGGGCAATAAACGCTGCACATTTTGATTCTCATAAAGGGTCTGGCTCCCTTGCGATTGCCACTACTGCTGTATACTGGGGCTGCTTCCTTGGCGTCCTCCTCTTTTCCTTTTTTGTGGCTTGGGTATACACTTATACTGCTATACATAAAAAACGTTCCGTGAAAAGGGAAATTTTTGTTTTTTTCCCTTCCAGTTTATATAAACACTTCGTGCAACAAAAAATGTTGCGAGAACAGCCAAATGGGCTATCTGAGGAATTGCTCAAAATGTGTGCTGCGTTGGTACATCACGTGAAAACAAAATGAATTGCAGAGCAGCCACAAAATAAATCATAAAGCAAAATGAACGTGTTACATAAAAAAAGTGAAGATGCATGTAGCAAATTAAATGGTTCTCTCTTTTCGTCCATCCATAAGCAAAAAATAAAACTTTAATTTTGAACAGTTTGTTTTTGCCAGCACTGTAAAAATAATAAATAAATAGAGTACACACAAAAAAAAAAACAATTAAAAGAATGGGAAGAAACAAAATGTGCAATTTAATTAAAAGCAGGTGATGCTATCCTTATCCAAATAGTGAAAACATGTGTAATCTATCGTTTAAATTTCATTTTTTCCATAGGGGCTTAATCTGATGGATGATGAAAACGCCTTTTTTCCGGTGAATGTCTTTTTAAAATGCTCCTCAAATTATAACATACGTCCCATTCAGATCGCATTTGCCAACAATAATATATTCATTTTTGTCCCATTAAAATGATAAACGTGTACAGAAAAAAGAAAGAAAAATTACGAATCAACTTATTGTAAATAAAAATGAGAAAAGCAAATTTTGTAAAACTGTGATTCCTCAAAATGTGAGAACATTAAAATGCCCCGCGCATTGAAGTGTACTTGACGTTACTGTCCTTTTTTTAATTCATGGATGCCAATTTGAAAGTACACGTACCGCTTTTGTGTATACATATATGTATATATATACATGTGCACGTTTATATGTACGTTTGAATCATTTTAAAAGAATTGTTTTGCTCTCTACTGCGTTTGACGATTCATTGCTTGTTTGCCTCCTTTTATTTTGATTACTTTATTCATTTTTGTCATCACATTTACCTGCTGTTCTATAAGCGCTATTTGATTTTTTTATGTATTTATTTATTTTTTTTTTTTTTATTTTACAACAATATTTGTATATTGACAAATTTGTGCATGCATCAATATAATGTCAGGATGGCCGAGTGGTCTAAGGCGCAGCGTTTAGGCCGCTGTCCGAAAGGGCGTGGGTTCGAACCCCACTTCTGACAAATTTTATTGCCCAGAAAAAAAAGGAGTAAAAAATATGTTCTAATGTTTTATCCTTATGTTTATATTATATTGTTTAGTAAGAATTTTTTTTGAATATGATTTTTTTTTTTTTTTATTCGAAGTAACAAGAAGTACATTTAATTATACTTCATGTTCATGGAAGCATAACGGATTCATTATGGCATCTGCTCTCATTATTTTATACCACGTGGTCTTGTAGATTTTCCAAGATTTTTCGCTAAACAAAATTTACAACAGTATTTGTAATTTTTGTTCAAGTTATTTTCAGGTTTACATAAAGTATTCTTAGAGAACATGGAGGATTGTATAGCTCCCCCCCCTGATTTGTTGCATCGTAAATTATTTCCATAAATACATTAAAATTTAGCTATCAAAATATAAACATTTCTACAGACGATGCGCAAGACAAATTTGAAAAATTATGATACATTTCACGTTGGTGCCCTCTTTTAATTCCTTTCAATAAAAATGTCGCTTATAACATAAGATGATGCATTCATGAGCACATAGAGACGCTTCCATGGAGCTAATTAAAAACGAAATTATCAAGTAAAATATTTTCCTTTATAAAATATGATACAAATGCCAATTCCATTTTGTGCAGTGTGCTATTTACAACCCTTTGAACCACATATGTGTTTTCCTTACGCATGAACATTGCTTCTTTAGCAAAAGCGAAGACACGTCCCAAGTCTTTTTGTGAACAAATGCAAAGGACAAAACTGAAAATAGACCGTTATTCATATTATGGTTGTGCAACTATGCGTTTTGTTTTTACCCCCAAGTGCAATCTATTTAGAAATATCAAAAATATTTTTTAAAAATGCAGTTACCTACTTAAACGTTTAAGTTCAAAATTTTGCATACGTCATATAACACACATTTTCAGTGAAGCCCTGTTAGGGACTAAAAAATATGATAAAATAAATGATAATGGGGATCTAAAATAATGTTACAACAGCATATATTAAGCCAATTTATCTCCTACATGTCTACAAAAGGAACATTTGCGCTAAATGAGCGCTTCTCATTTTCACGTCTATTCCATGGAAAATATATGAATAAACTTATGCATTTAAAATTTTTTTTCCTTTTTTGCTTAACGTATGAACAACATTGAAAAGGGTAACATGCTTTCTTGTGCGCATTCATAAATTCATGATTTAATGTAAATACTTAAGTACGAATAAATTTGTATTTGTATTTTATCATAAAATTTACGCCTCTCTATCTTTGCATAATAAAGCATAAGACAACTAAATGTTAAAAATATAGAACTCATTTTTCATGATATTTAGAAAAACAAATAGATATTTATTAAGGTATTCCTAATTTTTCTTTTTCATGGTGTTTTGCGTCTACGTTTGCCTCAACCCTTTAAAGGTAAATCACCTAATCTATATTACGCATTTCTACGCGTACTATGCTATACATTATGCGTTAAGGCTTTAATGATCTTGACCTTTTCCTTTAGTTTTTTCTGTCTAAAATGAATGTGTTACGGTCTAATTGTTTCTAAAAAATATGTTCCTTTTTTGTCCAATTAAAATTTATAAATTACTTTTTAATAATAAAAGCACGAAAGGTGACAACTGAAAAAAAGGAAAAATAAACAAATCAATAACACATTTATAGTATAGAAAGGGCTCTTTTACTTTTTTCATTAAGGAATTAATTTGTTATCGTTTTAAACATCTTTTACTGAAATAAATTGCAGTTCCACTTATTTGAGTTCTTCAAAAACACTTTTTCCTGAAATAAAAGTTTTAACAATCACAGACATGATCACATATCATGTCAAATCATAATAATGATATACTCAATTTTAGGATTAATAAAAGTGCTGTAATTGCCTTGTATTAAATGTTGCTTAAGAATATAGAAGCTATAAGGTAAATCATGAATTACATACATTAAGATGAATTTTCTTTATTTCTTAAAACCCATATACATTCAAATATAGAAATGTTTGAAATTTATGAATTAATTTATATACGCTCCGAAAATGATGAATATTCATACACAACTAGTTGTGTTGCTAAATAGACATGTTAACATGAAGCTCATACGTATTATTATTGTTACAAAAATTATAATTCAGGTACCCGAAAAAATCTTAAGTCAAAATTTAGGGATATTTCAGAAAAATGATCATAAGACAATGAATTGAATACATTTCGTGAAATAACTATGCAGTACAATAAAGGTACTCGGGAAACTAATTTTTTTTCTCTTTTTCCTATTAATACATTTATGATACTTTAAAACTTATTATTTGCATTGGGGTACGACACCATTTGTTTTTCTTTCATTTTCGTTAACATCACATAATATGTTTTAGATATTCAATTAATACACTTTTGTAGCAAATATAGTTTTAGGATACCTAAGAATAATAAACTGTTTAGTTAAAAACATTCAATATGAAAATACAAATATGCATATTGCTTGTTCTACTAAAGTGCTGTGTAAATACACCACAATACATTTTATGTTATCACGATAGCAACTTTATAAGTATTATTTGTATTTTTATAAATAAAATTGTAACATCCCGTGTTAAAAATACAACACTTCTTATTCTATAGTGAATATTTCTGTTATTTATTTTAGCTTTGTTAAAATCAAATTGAAAAGAAGACATATTTATTAGTGTTATCATTGTGTGACAATTGTGCTCAATATAAAAATATAGCTGTTGATTGCATTAAATTACATCACCTAAACGTTAAAGTAAAAACTGGCATAGGAGTGTTATGTCTAGACTTAAAAGTAAAATGATCGCAAATTGTAAGGCTTAGTTATACATAAACAGGTTTTCCTGTGTTCTCAACAGGAAGACGGCTTGAAATAACGCTAATAACTTTTAACAGACATTTTACAAATAATGGGAAATGTCAAAAGGAATAACAACATTCAAGGGAAATTATACATGACTCATAATGTTTAAGTCAATAAAAAATAAATTAGTTTATAATTACTATATAATGCTGGTTTATGAATGATATATAAATTCTTGCACAGGTACAAATTATTTTACCAAATAACAATATTCTGTATACACAAAATAAAAATGGAATAATAATAAATAAATAGAATAATTATATTAAAATAATATTATATAACAATTAAAATAAAAATTAATAGCTAAATCAACAAAAAAGACATTGTGACAAATGAAAATTACATATTATTTTATACAATTATAAATAAATAAAATTAAATATAATAAAAAATATATATTAAATAAATAAATTTTTATAAATTAATAATACATAAACAATTAATTTAATTAAAAAATACTATATTGCTTATATTATTTGATAAAAAAAATACATAAAATAAAAATAATAGTCAATAAGTATTATATATTAATTAAAATAATAAATGTAAATAATATGTAATTAATTAATATAAATAAAATATTTTATATTTGTATTAATGTATAAAACATAATTTTAAAAATATATTATACAGATAAAGAAAATTATTATTAACTATAATTAAATGCAATAATAGTAATAAATTAATTAAAACAAAATAGAAAATAATTAAATTAATTAAGTGGAAATAAATTATAATATAATATATATAAGTAAAATAAACAATATAAATTAATTAAAATCATTCATTAATAATATAATTATAATATTAATAAAATATAATATTAAAAAAAAATTAATAAATAAAATTATTTTTATATTAAAATAATATAATAAAGACTTATAAAACATATATAACATATATAACAAATAAATTTTACTTAACATTTTAATAAAATGAAATTAAATAATTTATTTAGAACTATATGTACATATAAAATAATAAATTAAACTGAATTACATTAACAATTAATTAAATAAAAATATTATATAATAATAAATATATTATAATATTTAATTAAAAAATATATTTACTATAATTAATTAAATAATTAATTTATTATATATTATAATTTACACATTAAAAAGATAAATAATATATATTTTATTTTATATTAATTTAAATAAATAATATTAATTAAAAATAATTAAATATAAATAATTATATTTAATTAAGAATATATATTTATAATTAATTAAATAAAATGATAATTTTTTAAATAAATTAATTAATATTGCTAAGTTACTTTAATAGTACAGTAACATTAAATATAAAATAAATATATTAATATATTGTGTTATGCATAACTAAAATTAAATAAATTTACAGTATTAAATTAATTAAATATTTTATATTAAAACAAATTTTAATTTATATTTACTTAAAATTATTATTAAATATATTTAAATTATTAATATATTTTAATGTTACATAAAAAATAAAATAATTTAAAACGTATATAATAAATTAATTATATACATTTATTCTATTCAATTAATAATTAAATATTAATATAATATTAAAATAAAATTAACAATATTAATTAATTTAAATTAAATAATTATTAATAATAATGTATTCTAATTATTTTAAATAAGGATATAATTAAACAATATATATTATTACCGGTTTCACATTCAATGAAAAAATAATTATTTATTTTATTTAATTAAATAATATATTGAAATAATAAATAATTCCTTGCCTTTATATAGTATACCAAAAAAATATATAATTTAATTATTAAATATAATTAATTTTAATATGTATAACATAATTTTATAAATTAAATTTCCATCATTAATATAACAGATTGTTTGTTTATTAATAAATTAACAATATATTTTAATAAAAATATTACATTATTAAAATTAAATAAAAAATAATAATTGAATAGTTATTATATTTAGTTAAATTAATATATATTAATTTTATTTATTTATTAATTATATTATATAAAATTTTAATTAATTAAATAAATATTATAATTAAACTTTATTAATTAAATGCTGTAATTATATTTTAATAAATTATTAAATTTATTTATTTTATTTAAAATTTATTAAATAATTAAATAGTTATATAATAAAATAAATATATTATTTAATTTTAAATAATTAAATTAAACTCATATAATAAATAAAAATAAAGTTAAATAATTAAATTAAGTGCATATAATAAAATTATTTTAATTAAATATTTATTATAAATTTCTAAATAAATGAATAATTAAAATTAATCATACACAACAATCAATTTTCCATTTGTGATATTATTTAATAATAAAATTATATTATATGTAATTTTTAATATATAAATGTCATATTTCATTCAGTGTAATAAACATATTTTTTTTTTATCTTAAGGTATATGATCTACACTTTAATTATATTATTAATTTTTAAAAGTTTTCCATTTAGTAGAAGTTTTATAGTGCTAAGTTAAAAGCTAAATCATTTACAATGATTTCATAACATTTTATCTATAATATGCATTTCTTTGTAAGTTCCTTATTCTCAGTGAACATATAACTTTGTAGTAACATATAAATCTGGAAATATTCAAAATAAATCCCTTCATTTTTTATACAACTACCTTTATTACTCAAAATGCTATTCTGTCTACTTTATTTCTTCTTTTCTGTTGCTAGATAACGTTTCTTTAAGTGAAAATTATGTGTAAACACCATTGTTTCTTTAATAATTAAGTCTATAATTAAAAAGGTGCATGTTGAAAATGTTTTCATTTTACTATTTGGTTGTTTCCGTCCAAAACTGTGTAAATGAAAGATATTATAATGAGTTCTTTTCTGGGTAATAAAAAACTTGAACTTTTGTTTAAGTAAAAAATTTGTTTATATATAGAACAAAATGTTTGTAACTATCTCTGCTCTAACCTGTTTGCCTTACATTATAAAGTAGAAAAATGAAGAAACACAAAATTTGCAGAATAACAAAATTAAGACAATAGTTTCCTTTATAAAAGTGTAGACTTTATATTCGAACTAAATCTTTTTTTTTTTTGACATATCAAAATATGCTTCCTTTTGCCATCATGGAAAAGGTATTTTTTTCTCGATGTTGACCCTTTATAACAGTATTCCTAAGCTTGTATTATTATTTTTGTTATATTATATTTAAGAAAATCATATTTAGACATTAAACTTAAAATTGTACTTGAACGTGCATTCTTTATAATTCTTTTTTCGTATGTGTGCTATAGTAATAACTTTAAATACCACAAACAGGTGAAATAAATACCGCAACATTCTTTAACATAAATGAAAAAGAACAGAAAATATTGCTTTCACTTACATATAGTTTTATTTTTTTTGAATGAAAACTCAAGTTTTATAACCATCACAATATGATACTTCATATTCTTCTTATCTTATGAAATCTATTAAGAATGAAATTCAAGGAAACAATTCCTACTTTTAATAGTTTATAGACATATTATATGTAAATACTATTGATCAATTTAAAGCATTAACAAAAAAAAGAAACCCCAGCAACTAAAAATTGAAATTTTCAAATTGTGCACAAAGTTATCTACGACAAAAAAAAAAAAATTTCTGCTTTAGCCCAACAATCAAATTTAGAGCAGCAAAAAAACTCATAAATTCCTGTCTACTGTATATGCATTTAGTGCTGAATAAACTCTTCTAACATCATTATTTGTTTATAATTTCAAATATTTTGTTATTTCTTAGACTGTTGTCTTCTCAGACAGTAATACAATACAAGTAAAATAAATAAATGAAAAAAACTGTTTCACATTTTTGTGTAAAAACTTTTGTGCATTTGTGTGTATATCTCATTTAAATTATTTTTTGTAATATTCATATTCCCCCACGTATCATTAGCCATAACATTTTTAAATATACCTTTTTTTATGCATTATGAAAGTGAAAAATCCACATAAATTTTAAGTGATATTTCTGAATGTGTAAAAATGAATTTGTTGTGTAAAAATAAAAAGTCCAATGGAGAAGTGGATAAGATAATGAATGAGCATAGAGTATTTACAGAAACACGTGAAAGTATAATTCCTTTAGAAAATAAGACAGTTGCAATTCCCTTTTGTTATAGTAAATACATAATCAACAACTCCTTTACAAAGATTCTACACCCTATAGACGCTAGACATAGTGATATATTCAACACAAACTTTAAAGGCACAAACAATGTGTTCTCGTTAAGAAACAAAAAACAAAAAACGAAAAATAAAAAAGACATGTACGAAAAAAAAGGAAATACTAAGAATCATGAACCCCAAAATGTTGATACAAATATGTTTGAAACAAACGTTGAACCCTTTAATTCGGTAAATTTTGAAAGTCACAGCAAGGTGAAACCCTTGCAAAATACATGTTCTGAAGGGGAAATGTGCAGCATATACTCAAATTTACAAAATACTAATACACATGGAGCAATTAGAAAATTAGAGCATTTTGACTACTTAATGTACAACGTAATTAAAAATGAACAGGAGAAAAAATTACAGTTGAAAAAACATATAAAATCAAAAAACAATATTACCATTATAAATAACCTGTATTCCAATACAACGCAAATGGTAGATAACGGTACACTTAATCTTGTTCAGATTAATAAAAACATTGTAAATTCAGAAAGGATATCTGAAGAAAATAACAGAAAATTGCAAGATACTAAATATTCACTGCTGGAAAAACATAATGTAATGAACCAAATAAAAATGTCTAATGGTTATACTGCGAAAAAGAATAGAAAATCATCTGCGAAATCAGGTAAGGAACATGATTTACTTGTTGATTCTGAGAATGAGTTAAGGAGAGAACAATCTTTGTCTATGATAGATGCTCATAAAAAAAACGTAGGAGGAATCATAAAAGGAAACACTGATCAATATAATGCTTCAGAACAGCATTATGAAATTTTTGATGATATGCGTACTTTAATTAATGGAAAGATAAAAAAAAGGAAAAAAAAAAATTTGGGGACTTGCCTTTTTAGCCTAAACAATTTTTCCTGTTATTTCCTCATGACATGTGATAAGACATAAAAAGTTAATACACGGGGACCCTTCATTTTGTGACACAAAACTTTTAATTGTTTTAAACCTATTTAAATTTTGTCCTTTTGTAAGTATTTTACTTTTTATGCATTTCTTTATTTATGGATTATACTTATAGAATAATGATCTTGTTTTTTTTTCATTAGCAAAATTTGCACACACTTCATTTGCCTTTATATTTCTACAAATTTGAACAGTATTTATTTTGCTTATGCGACGCATATATTTTTTGTTTTTTCTATGGGGAATACGAATTTATATTCTTCCTTTAGAAATTTCCAAATTGGACATTTGGGAAATAAAAATATAGGAAACGATTTATCAAATTAATTAATCTATAGTGCATCTATGAATTAGTGAAAAAAGTAGTAAACACTTAAACATACGTTCATTTAATAAACTATGTGCAAAATAAAATAGAAAAATGGATGGACGCATTCATATTGTCTCGCAAAATATATTACGAACAAAAAAAATAAAGTAATATATTAGTAAAGAGAAGGCATAACATTTTCATTGAAATAAGCGCATTAGAAGTAAAAACAAATGTTTTCATAAATCCATAATATTCTATGGTACATCAGTCATAAAATTTTGATGTCTAGTAAAATAGAAATATTAAACCCTCAAAAAAGGGGAAACCGTTAAAGAGACAAGAGGACACTATAAACCAAATGGAAAACGAAGAATACAATGCAACATCCCTAGTAGAAACAACAGTAGATAACAAAGAAGAAAGCATTGATAATGACGATAATGTGAAAACTGAAAAAATTAAAAAAATACACGAGGACAATTCAAGTTTAGAATCAAGTCTAGAATCTGACAGTGATAATTCAGAAAAATTTGAAAAGTTACTAAAAAATGCTAAAGTAGTTAATATTTCGAGTTTCAATAAGAATGAAGCAAATTCAGGCAAGGGAAAAACATTCTTTAAAAAATAATATATATATGCACTCCCTGTAGTCATTATTATTAAATAAATAAGAGCATAGAAGGATATAAAAGTGTATACAGCAGTATTCAGAAGCATGTACTCTTTGTTTAAGGCAATTTAACCATTGTAAGATAGCCAATTTACAATTTTTTACATTTACTTTTATGTCTAAAATTTCTTTCTACTTGTTTTAAGGGGAAAGAAGCTCAAGAAGTCATCATATTGATGAAAAACATTTTCCTATGGCCCTGTCTTTCATTTATAACTTCATGCTTGAACATGAATTTATAGAATCGCTTGAAGTCTTTGAGGTTGAACATACACGTTTTTTCACATTTCTGTGTTTTTAAAAATGTTATATGGTTGTGATCATTTTTTTACGTTCTTTGTTCTTTTCAAATTATTAATATATGACGCGTGAACATTCTTTTTCATGAATATAAAAATACATTTATATTTTTCTCTGTTAGAAAGAATACATTAAAAAATTTGGTGATGACATCAACAGGTTGAGAAAAGCGAAATACGAAAACATATTTACACAGAATGAGCTTTTAAGAAATGATTTTTTGAACCATGAAAAATTAACAAAAGAAGTTCAAAATTCTTTGGAAGACGCAAAGTAATAACTGCAAAGAGACAGGAAAAAAAAAAAATATATGTGCTATAACACATTTTTATATTATGCCATTCTGGGACGTACCTAAACATTTACACGTTCGTTTCTTTTCAAAATATCAGTAAAAAAATTCAGAAGACAATAAAAGAAAGAGATTACTACTTAATGCACCATAAACGAGTTCTACAGGAAAAGGAAACTCTAAATAGTACTGTCTACACTAATTCTCTTAGGCTCTTTAAATTTTCGAAATTAGTAAAACATCCATTATTTTTATGTACATCGATAATTTTAACTTGTTAATTTTTATTTTTAATAGAGGAAATACAAAAACAAAAAAAGGAAATAGACAGAATTCAAAATTCTGTAGATGAAATAAAAGCCAAATACGAAGTAATTATATAGATACGTTAAATGTACCTTTCTTAACCTAACGAATTAGCCTAAAGCTTTTAGCTAAGTATATATTTTCAAATGCATAAAAGTGTCGTGCCCATATATACGTGTATATATGCATGATTCCATACACCTTTTAACACTCATCATATATCACCTCTTTTGCTCTTTTTAAAAGTCTCTGCTTAAAGAAAAAATGTTAGTTACTCTGGAAAAAGAAAAACGGGACACGAAAATCGAAGGATTAAATAAATATATAGAGAAGCTGAAAGATTTGCTAGGAAATGACAAATTAGACAAGTCAATAACTAATATTTCGTCCATAAATGAGAAGAAAACAAATACGTTGCAGACAGATGTGTCAAAACAGGATAAAAACGATTTAGCGAAACTAACTTCCAAAAGAGAAGACACCCCTTGGCCTAACAATGAAAGTTGTCCTTGTGAACCTAGCGAAAATGATGATAACGAAAGTCCACATTTATGTGTTTCCTTATTAAAGATTACAAAATATTTTAATGCTCATGATAATGCAGTGTTAGGTCTTTCATACAACGACAAAGTACATATGTTAGCAACCGGAGGAGATGATGGAAAATGGAAGACATGGAGCGTAACTAATTATGAATTAGTCATGGCTTCACAAGCTCACAAAAAATGGATAGGCGATATTTGCTTTAATAAGGACGGAAATATCTTGTGTACTTCTGGTGGAGATTCAAAAATAAAATTGTGGGATATGATTAAGGAAAAATGCGTTCACACTTTTAAAAATTCAACTGGACCCGTGTGGAGTCTGTCGTTCCATTACGAAGGTTTTAAATTTATAGAAAAAAATATGAACTTGTGCCTATGCATATGTACATTTGAGCATATAACTTGTATCACTCCAACATGTTTCGTGGCACTTGCGCTTGAGCAGATGGGAGCATAAGTTTTTGCACATTCCCATGGAATCGAAAAGGGGCACAATAAAATATGCAGATTTATTAATTTGCTTCCATGTGGGCGAAATAAGACAAAACCTTTTACCTTTAATTTTTAGGAAACTTTTTTGCTTCCGCATCCATGGATCAGACGATTAGAATATTCGACATAAATAGCTTAAGGCAAAGGCAAATTTTAAGGGGGCACGTAGACAGTGTAAATTCTATAAGCTTTCACCCAACTTATAGAACCCTCGTCAGTGCGTCTGTTGATAAAACGGTAATTCAAAAAGTACTTGTAAATGTTTCAAAATGTTTCTCCTTTATTTTTTATTGCCTTGTGTTCAAAAAGGAAAAATATATCTATATTCGCCTTTACGCAGGTATCGATTTGGGATATGCGAAGTGGCCTCTGCGAAAACACCTTCTATGGACATAATTTCCCGTGCAACTATGCTAATTTCAACGCAGATGTAATGAGTTCAGCAAAAAAAATAAGAAAAATGTTGATAAATAAAATAAAGTTTATATATAAAAATAAAATGTTCACACATTTACCTTTAGGCAACTTGGGTATATTCTTGTGACTCTGGTGGCGTTGTTAAAATTTGGGACATCCGAGCCAACAGATGCTTCATAAACATAGACGCAGGTTAGGATAGACATTCGTTTTACCATTTTGGTACTTATATTTCTATTTCTGCTTCTATTTGTGTCTTTTTTTCTTTTTTTTTTTCGTATTATACTTTTTACCTACTTGTTCTTTCTTAAATTGCCAATTAGGACCATCAAGTGCAAACAAATGCCCAATGGACAAGCATAACAAATACTTGTTTATAGCCTCAGAAGACCACACGATAAAAATGTAAAATAATTTAAATTTAATATTTGCACTTTTTTAGCAACACAGTGTGCAGTGCACAGCACATACAGCTTGTTGCTCACACCTCATAATTTTCATTTTCTCCCCTGCCTAGATTTGACGTTTTAGAAAAGAAGTTTGTTCGGGCGTTAAAGCATGAATTCGCAATAAAGGTAAAGAGTGCCAAGAGGGAGAAAAAAAAAAAAAAAAAAAAGCAAAATGAACAAAGTAAAATATAACAAAAACACCATCTGCTTATATTACTTCCGGTGTTTATTTTCTATAACATTGTTTTCCTCTTTTGTAGAATGTTATACTAGAACAGGACAAATTGTTCTGTTCCTTGTCTAACGGAGATGTATGTACTTGGGAACAAGGGGAGGGTAAATTATGAAAACCCTGCACATGATGAAGATTATAAACAGATATACATACTACATTTTTTTTTAAGTTTCATTTTAAGTTGTACTTTATGATAATAAAGTCCTAATACGTGTTACCAAAAGTGTTATCTTTAACGAATATTTATGGGGGTTATACTTACGGCAGTTTCAAAAAAAGGGAATGTCAAATTGGGTAACGTGTCCCTTTTTTCGTGTGCTGCATAATACGGGATTGTTCTGAAGCACTATTCCCCATTTAGCAATTTTATTAAAAGAATAAAACCTACTTTAAATGTGCGTTTCTATATGTATGCAGAAAGTTTTATAAATTTGTGTACAACCTTTTTCTTAAGCAAATTTTTTCTTTATGCGTAAAAAACCTGTAAAAAAACGGGAACAAAATCTGATAACAAAATGGAAAAACGACTTATATGGCATCAAACAGAACAGGCACTTTAAACCTCTGTTGTGTATGTACTTCTTAAATATGCTTTGCGGAAAAGTAAAGATGAAATGAGAACATGAACAATAACCCTAAAATAACGGAATACTGGGCAAAGAAAATTTTGAATTGTCCGTATTATATTGTTCACATTAATTTCAGCAATACACCCCTGTGCCTACTGCCGGTGAAGTCAAGACGTTTTGCTTAAATTTATTTGGTTTAAAAAAGTAAATAATGAGTAAGGCAATTCTGCTGACTCGTTTCCACTTATTGAATGAAATATGAGACAAAACACGTTGCGGTGCGCGTGTACATACGTTCACATTGTGCCATATGCTTTGCTCTTAAACGGCAGTAGCCAACAATGGGAGGAGCTTTGTTGCTCTTAATTTTAAAAACGCTATGAAATTTTTTCACTATTGTTTCGCATTTGCCGTTTTGAAATAAAGCGGCGCAATACATTTAAAAAAATATATATGTACATAACCATATGCTTCATCATTTCACTATGTTATGCTCGCTTGTGCCGCATGAACCACATAATTTGGAAGTAAAAATAAATGGCTTTAGAGATTATGTGGCCTTCGTTAAACAGCATACGTATGTAAAGGCTTACTTTTGAGCGAATTCATGATTTTTCCTGATGGGCACGAATCGAATATACTTTCTTAACAATTACGCATATTATGCACTTATATATGCATATGTACTACTACATATATACCCATCACATACATATATATAGAATTATATAATTTCATGCAATACGTGCGCAATTAAAACGTTCCCGTATTGGTATACAACGGTACGTACATGCAGTGGCATGTTTTTCTTTTTTTGGCTAGTTTGATTTTTGTTGTGAAAAAAAAAAACAAAACAAAACTACACTTTTTGGCCCCGCCATTTTGCCTTCCTTTTTTTCTGTTTTTTTTGACAAAAATAAATATAATTTTTTTTTTTTTTTTCTTTCTTTCTTTCTTTCTTTTTTTTTTTTTTTTCCGACGTCTTCTTTACCGAAGACTGCAGCATTAATATATAGCTATTAAGGCGATGAAGAAAACATTTGCGTAAAATTAAAATCTGATAAATAAAATATTACTAAAATTTATTTTTTTTAATATTTTATTTTAAGATGATAAACGCCAGATAACAGAGCCTTATACATGAAAATCATGCTATAACAAACGCAGCTGCAAAGTTTGACATGGAAAGCATAAGGAATGAACAAGTGACCGGCAACAACGGTACACGCCTTTTTTTTTGCTGCCATTTTGAAAAGGATAAGAAGTAAAATAAAGGAAAAAAGGAATGTTTCGCATGTACATACATGTCGAGCATATATGCGGTTCTCCTTGTACCTTCTGTACATATAATAAAATTTCGACGCGGATGTTTTCGCCCGTGGTAATGATGGCCTTAACAAAAAAATGCTTCTATGTGTTATTTTTATGCCCGTATTGCATTAAAGGACAAAAAAACACGCAAACAATTTTGGTAGAAAGGAAAAACTGCATCATAATTTTGAAAAATATTTTATTTTCCGACAAAAAAAGGCCGTTTCAGCGTGCTCCAACGGGCAAAAAAAGTTTGGCGCATTACGTTATATGTTTTATGTTAAACGGAAAAAAGGAAATGTAACTCTTAAGTACAACTCACCAAGGGTTACTTGTTGTTCACGCAAAAGGTGAACCTTTGCAATATGAATGTTTGTTTATATCATCCTAAGAAAAATAAAATTGCTTTCAATATAATAGGAACAGTTTAACCATGTGATGATGACTATTCTTTGAAATGGCTTTTTTGTCATCCTGCTTATCTTTTTATGCAATAAAGATGTGCAGCGTGTTCCCATTGTCGTGGCCAGGGTGAAAAACATGTTCATGGGCGGCCATTTCAAAGTGGCCATAAAAATGTGCCCAGTAAACTTTACCGTTTAGAGGAGAACGTATATGGCTACAATTTAAAAGCATAAAAAATGCGCAGGGAGAAAACCCAATGCGTGTGTCCATTTAATTTTCGAGTGAGAACAAGCACACGTGTGTGCAGCGTCATGCTACATTAGCCGCTATTCTTTTCAAATTTGTACGCGTAAATTTCTTTACAAAAGTTTTAAGGCTTAAAATGTGTATTTTCATTTGAAGGGTATGCCGCATGTATGTTTTCTCAAAAATGCAAATGAAATGAAAACATGAGGGAAAAAAACTAAATGCTAATTCGCCTCTTTTTTTTGCAACATTTTTGCAACAATTTTACGGGTCAATGCTCAGATATAAAATTAAAGCCTATTGTTGAGCTTGAAAAATTACACGCATTTTCATATATTCGCACAAATGTATATAGCAACGGAGAGGGGGGGGGAAAAAAAAAAAGAGGCAAACGTAGAGGGGTCCTTCCATATTTCTTACGAACTGCACATGCTATAATTATAAATTGAATAAATGGCCATTCATTTATGTATATACACACATGAAAGGTTGTATTATTATACAATTATTTTATTTGTTGTGCGTTTTCATGGTATGCTGCATTGTAGGCACACTGTGGACTTAATACTTTTCTTCGTATAACCCATCTGATATATAAACGAAACGTGGAGCAACTTCTTCACCTTTGTAATAGGAGTAGGCCAAGCCTGCATCCATGTCCAATGATTCTCCCATGTAAAATTCAAAATCATCAAAATTTGTTAAAATATGTTTAATGAGTGGTTGAGCTTTGGTTTTAAAAACTTCTACACGATCTGGTTTCTTTTCTTCTAAATACTTGAGAATCTTTTGCATATAGTTCTTTATATAAACACTGTATTCCTTTTTGCTCAAAGATGTGGATGTTAATTGGAAGGAGTCAACAATGTCAATAACTTGTTCTACGTCCGCACCCATTCCATCTACTGCTTCTTCACTGTTATCGGCAATGCCATAGTCTTCATTTCCTTTTATTCTTTTATTTGATTTCACTTCAAAGGCGATTTCACGAAAGTCTGCAATTCCAAATGGGTCTTCTTGATTGTACGAATCAGAACATACTTCATCGTTGGTGAACACGTCTTTGTATACTTTCATTTTGGATGATAATAATCAAACGGTGGTACGGGGTTATATGTATAATTTATATAATATAAAGCGTACGAATTGTAACCGTATTTGTTTGCGTTTATGCGTATTAGGTTAACAAGCGCAAAGTTCAGTATAAAACTATGTTTAACTTATACGTAACGAAACTGTTTTTTTTTTAAAACAAGACAAATATACGCAAAAATTCACAAAAAAGCCCAAAGTTTAAAATTAAAATGTTTGCAAACAATTTCCCTTTTTTTTATATTTTTATGTACGTTTTTTTTTTGTGCTATAGAAAAATATGCAGTCAAAAAAGTCATACAATTTTGCGCAACAAATGGGAAGAAGCTCAAAACTGGGGAAAAACAAATGAATAGCAAAAATGAAAAAATAAAAAAGAATAAAAAAGTGAAAAATAAATTTAAATATAATGGATGCGTAAACTGTTTTATATACATATATGCCGAAGGCGTTTCAAAAATGCGATACGCTATGTTGTTCGTGTAGTGTACCAGATATGGGTAAACCCGATAAATATGCTGCATGTAATGCATAATTTTTTTTTTACCAAAGTCGCACTTGGAATAATAATGGCATTAACTTGACCAACTGTAACATAAGCGCATAATAGGGTTGCGCGATTTAGTGATGGTACATTTTTTTCTCTTTGCCTTTTGCCGCACTTTTATTGGCTAAACAAAAGCTTTTAAAAGGTCGAATTTTATGCACAAGGCGCGCGTAATCCCACATGTAATGTGACTTTTGCCAGTCGGGGTAAAAGGGAAAAAGGTCACTGCTTATTATGTATATACAATAAACACCTGAGCGTTTAAGGCTAAATATAAATTCATAAGTAGCAGATACGCTTGTATGGTAACAATTAACCGTAAGGTTGCATATGTTGAAGAGGCAGGTGTTGCTACACGGAAAAAAATATTTTCCCCCTTTTCAAAAGAGTCCAAATGACATTCGTAAACCCTAATAATAAACAAATGAACGTTTTTATATGCACATAATATTATTTATACAATGTGTAATGTGCAATATTATACACATATGAATGCCAAAGGCTACACCTGGATAAATTAACCATACACTATTATATCGCAAAGAGGAATTTTACAAATAAGCAAAACTGCGTTAAATCATCGCACAGAGCTTTTTTCCCACTCAAATTATACACGTATATATATATATTCGTCGTGCCTTTATTTGAAGTGTAAAAGTAAAAAACGAAATATTTCCCTAACAATTTTTGTCCTTTTTAAAGGAGAAGACGTCCTTGCGACGTTTCTCACATAATTGAGTATAACATATGCAAATTGCGCTTTGCATCAAAATACGTGCTAATTATATATATAACTCCCTTTTTTTTTTCTTTTTTCCCACTCCCCCTATTATAGTATATAAGAAAGTCAAAATGAAAGTAGCTCTTCTCATATTTATCATCCTCGTTTTGCTAAATTGTAAAAGCTATGGAAAATCGAATTTGAAAAAAAAAGGTAAAAAA